AATTCTGCTTTGGATGACTCCATCGGAGACTTCTAAGGCGTTACAGGCCTCAGAGTGCAGTGAACTGCTCGACCCTATGAGAGCGAGCTGCTGGATCTCCGCCCAACACTAGCCAGGTAAGTTTACACAGGAGCGAGCTGCTAGTCACTTGCCTGCCAATGAACATTTTTTGAGCATGGGGTACAGCAAGCTAGCTGGGCCTACGACCGATAGTAGGTTCCTCTTCAAGAAGAGTTCAAAAATCTAAGCAAGAGATCTAAAAAAAACTTGGTACACTTCTCGATTTGTGCGTGTCATCCTTGCGCAGGGGCCATGCTAATCTTCTCTGTATCGTTCCAATTTTATCGGATGATCCCCGAAGGGAATCCGATTTCGCTCGAAGTTGCCAAATAAGATATCTCCACAACAACCCGAAAAAAAACTTGCAACTGAACCAGTTGCTGGAGGTGAGTAGCCTTACAGTGTGAGCTCAGGGAGTCAGACAACTCAAGGCCAAAGGTGCAAAGAGTTCCTCTTATACACTCTGCATCACCTCAGGGAGGGAGCAGTTGCTAACACCTCCACCGGAAAAAAGCCAGCATAGAGGAGCTCGCAATCGGAAGCAAGCTCCAAAAACAGAAGTGAACCTGCAGCCGACTGCTGTGGCCGGCAAGAGAGTATTACTAGGTCAGCGCAGAGGCACCGTAGCCATTTTGGCTCAAGGTACAAATCGGGCCCTTGCTGCAAAGCAGGCCTTTTGTCTTTTCTTTGCGAGATAAGAAGCCTTTTTGGCTTTCTTCTTTGGCTAGCTAAGGTTGCTGGAAAATTATTAAAAACAAGTTTTTTCTTTTCATGCACATGGAACCCCACATTTACACTTGGGCACAAAACCCAAACCTGGGTTTTTTGGAACAAATGTTCGAGATTTCAGAACTTTCTCAACATCATTGTTCTTATGGCGGTCTTTGGCATCAAAAGTATCTAGACCGGTCTGATCCTTTTGAGAATGCTGAAAACTCGAAACAGCTTTCTCTCGGAAAAAGGATCTATGATCATGCTTATACTACTGATCTCGTAACTAAGTGGCACATTAACAAATAGTATCTTGCAGCCAATTTTACGGCCTATTGAAAGAAAGATCTACATTGTTTAAGGAAATCTCACATTGGACTTTTATGAGTGAGTGAGAAATACTGAGAACTATATAACTAAAAAAACTTCATGTACCTTTATCTTCTTGCTAACATTGGATGAACAAACAATAAAGGAAATTTTCTCTTTGAAAATGGAAGGTGGAACCAAACCAAGCCCACTCAAAGCCACTTTGCAACAACCAAACTGTTGCAAGGTCAAGTCTTCAAAATTTCTTGTAAAAATTAGATTCATTAGATTAAGCAGAAACAAGCCGGTTGACTGCATTCTTCCAGCCACTTCTGGAACTGTGATAAAGTTCAAATAATTGCTCTTGCACACACATACACACACAGAGAAAACACAAAATGAAGTGTCTGACTGCAGAAAGTTCTTCCCAAGAGTTTGAAGAATAGAAGTGATTTGATAAGCACCTTGAAATTCTTGAACAAATCATTCAAACTTGTGACACAAGAAGAGTGGAATTTAGACTGGGTTCTTATTCTTTCTTTTCTCTGATTTTTCGAGCAATGAAAAACAAAAAAAAACAAGAAAAGAGGGGTGGAATTCAGCTAGTTCTTGCTGCTGTACTTTTCTGTTTTTCAAGTAAAATTAAAGACGAGAAAAACAAATCAAGAAACAACAGCTGTGAAGTAACACTCGGTGCAGTTTAGCATTTTGCTAGGTGGAAATCTTCAAGTTCGGGCAGCAGATAAGTCAGACTCTGAACATGCATAGTTACCCGTAGGGTGTGCTGCCATTGGCTTGGTGCCACGCCAGTGCAACACAGTTGTCACACTGATACGAACAGATACTACACTTGATCATGGCCAAAAGACCCAGAAGGTATGCTCTGTATGAGGCAGTCAGACTGCCTGCAAGCTTGATGCAAAGAAACTGTGTGCACTATCTTGAAAACCCATCGACATCCCTGCCAATCCAGCAGGCGAGCCGAGCAAGCGAAAACTGCGACCCTTATTTCCAGCGTCAGCTTTGTTAGCCAGTTTTGTTGCAGAGCTGCGTGCCAAACGGAATCGTTGGCCAATGGCAAGTTTAGTTGACGATCACGTGCTTTTCAAAGCTTATTTGGATGCGACGTATACAAAAACGATTGGGCCTAATGTTTAATTTGGTAGGAATATTCTAGCATGCTTTCCGACAAAGAAAATGATTCTTCAAGACCAGAACAGCCTCCTTGCTTCATGCGGTTTTAGCTCAATGTGGGTCTTCTTGGTATGTAGCTTGGGTGGTGCATATTGTTGGTTAGTGTGGTACTTGTGAAATGTAGCAAGAATAAGTTGCGGCTGCCATGTATTCATGAGCACTTTGGGCCGTCGGGAGATGTGGACTCGCTGACCACGACCAGAGCAGCTTCTCACCCATGCCGGGGTGTCCTCGGGGTTGAGGGCTTACATAGGGTTTAGGGGATTGGGGACTGTGGCCTGCCCAGCATTGACCATGACTCAAGGACTGTTGAAGAAGACCCAGAAGGGGCACCACAAACAAAAATGAAGACTTTGAAGAACACAATAAAAACTTAGAAACGGCGAAATAAAAACTTGAAACAACACACACGCACTGGTCCCACCAACATGCAAACTGGCAGGGCCTGAAGCTTATCCCGGCGTTGACGGCCGTCACTAAGAGCTTAAGAAGATGTCTTGAACGGGGCAACTTCTTTATCCACCGCCCTCCAGCACACCAGCCCACGTCATTATCAAGGCTGACGCTCAAAGGGTGGGTCTCCATGCAACAATAATGTCAAACAAGACGAAGGAGCAAGAACGAAGGGAGCTTCGAAGACACTTCTCTGATTTTTCGAATTAAGAAATAAAAGAAAATTTGAGAGGGGTGGATCGCGCTATTGCCCCTTCCGAAGGAAACTTAAAAACAGAACTCTCGTATGTGTTGCTCGACATCCAGGCAAAGATTGAGGGATGGCAATAAAGCAAGCAAAACTTAACACTGCAAGCAGATTAAAGAAAGTGCTTGAATGGATGGAAGTAACCTCTGGTGGCATGCCCGCAAAGAAGGAAAGATTCGTGTTTGAAATCCACCTTTCTCAAATTATTTTTGGTGTTTGTATTCATCTTTCGAAAAATCAGAAGAGAGTGGAAATTAGACAATCAATTTTCCACTCTGATTTCAAGTCCAGATTCTGGATTGGAACCCAGGTCCAACAAACGTGGGAAAAAACTTTAAAAAAACCGCTTCTCAACACAAAAATGTTTCACACACTCCGGTGTTACCCACAGTAACACTCCCGGGGCATTGGTTGCAAACGGAATGACGGGAAGCCAACACAAAAACTGCACCGCTAATTGTACCAAAGACTTGTTGGCCAAGGCTGGAACTTTTGAACATGCAATTTGGATGTGCTTGGGAAGCTTGTCTGTGTTAAACCCTTCGTTTTCGTGCAATAATCTGCAAGATTGAGTTGAAAACTGACGGCGCAGCCAAGTGCGGCAAAGCGCAACCCCTTTACTTTTTGAGAGTATATTATTTTCAAAGGTCAAGATCTGTTTATGTTGATGAACCTTTGCAAGGAGTTGTGTCACGGGTCGTTTTAGGACATGAAAAGTTGGCCAGCGGACAAAGAGTTTTTCCCCCACTAAGCTGATGTTGGCATCTTTAGAGCGTGACAGGTCATTTCCCTTATACAATGTTGCCGTTTATTTTCTGATTCAAGGCTTGTTTGGATGTTCTGTGGCTTGGCCTATTTTGGATACTATTTCGCTTCGGACCTCTCTCAATACAACCGTGGTGCTGGCTTTTTTTTGGCTTGTTGGGTTGCTGCGATTGCCACACCGTCCTAAAAGGTGGGGTAGTGCCTCTACCCTACTCCAACTTGGCAGGGTGGGAGTACCCCTACCCAATAGGGGGTGGGATGAGGTCTGGTGTCGTTTGACTTCGATATGCGATCTTGGTGTCACTCGCCTTCACTCGGTGTCACGCAGCGTATGAAGACATGTGAGAGGAGCGAAGACATTGCAAAGACGAGCGACGACAATGAGAACACACATGAAAACACGCAAAGATGAGCGAAAACGAGCAGTGGCGTCAGTTGATTTAGCTCGTCCCCACTCGGCATTACTCCAGGTCGCTGTTGTTCGACGTCGCTCGGCGTCTTTTGGTGTCGCTAGATGTCCTTCGGCGTTGCTCGGCGTCACTCGGCCTAAACCCAAAACCTTTCCCGTGTGGCGAGGCCATGAGACCATGACCTGCGTTTGGAGGTCGAGAACAAGAGGCCAGGTGGGTCACAGGGTCTGTTGGAGGGTTGAAAAAACAATTGGGGGGATTTCGGGGGGTTTAAGGGGTTTAGGGGGGTTTAAGTTGAGGGGTTGTGTGTGTAGCAAGGAGTCTTGCAAGATTATTTGGAACCTCATGGGTCGATCAACCTCAGGATGTTGTTTGAGGCACACTCGCGATCAGGCCTCATGCGGAGGCCAAGTTTTTTTGGCTCAAAGGCGCGTAGGTCCCGAAAATCGGCAGCGGCAGCCTGTAGCCGGGGCGCATCGTGTTGAACGAGGCGGCCCCCTCAGAAGTGGATGAACGCGAAGCCATGCTGCCGCAGCCGATTCAGAGAGAGGTCGAATCCAGCGAAGCAGGGCTCCTTACAGGTTGGCAAGCGAGGGACGCAGCCAATGCTGTTGCCTTCGAGTTGCCGCGCTGACTGCTGTTGTGGGCTTTGTCTTGTGCCACGCTTTTGTTTCCAGCGGCAAGGGACATCCTGTCTTTGAGCGAGCAGCTGCAGCACCAAGATGGAGGTGGCGAGGGTTTGACAATTTCCCAGTGTCAGTGGTCCGATCCTTCGGGGCTTCGTAGCGCTAGCACTCGCCCAGCTTTTTTAAAGCTATTTTGTGCGGAGCTCGAACTTTGAGACGCAACAGGCTCTCAAGACGAGCCAGAGCCATGAACATCATCATCTCAGAGTCCTGGACACGGCAACCGTTGCGCAGGTGGGGATGCCTGTCAAAGTCCTGAGAGAGCACTCCCTACTCCCCGGTTAGTTGGGCTGTAGCAGAGGCAGCGAGTGATGAAGCCCAGGTCAAGAAGTGGAGTCGATTCAAGAAGATGAAGGATGCCAACAAGGTCTCCTGTGCCTTCGATGTGGTCGAGGCTTTTTGGAGCGCAATGGGAGTCTCGGCTGTTCAGCAGTGTGCAGTTTGCCCACGCGGGACTTTTTGGCTCATGTGTGTTGGCCCGATACCCTAAGGTTTGAAATTTAGATGTCTCAGAGGTTTCTGAGTCACCAAGGTTTGGGTGACGACATCAACGGCATGGTGCGCACCTGTCCCCCACCACGCCCTCCGAGGTGAGTGCATTCGGGTTCGGGGGGGCATCATGGACACCCTTCTTTGTGCCTCCAGTCAGGGTTTAGGGTTTTGGGGTTTGGGGTTTAGGGTTTAGGGTTTAGGGTTTAGGGTTTAGGGTTTAGGGGTTAGGGTGGGGTTGGTGGACCCAAGGCCCCAAGCCCGAAGTTCAGAAAGCTTGTTTGGGACAGCGCCTTGTGTTGACAGGTCACAGGAACCCTAAACGCCCTAAACCTTAACAACCCTAGGTCAGAGTATGCCTGCCAAGTGGACTCGGGCGTTTTGATCTTCTGGCTGGGGAACTTGGCATCCAAGCTCGCCTCGGCCGTCTCCAACTGCGAAGACACCCTTAGTGTGGGCGGCGGTTGGGGTGGCGTGAATCCGGGGAATGACCGTGGGCCTCTCTGTGCTGCAGGTGGCTTCTTCTTCTGCTTTTCCTCCTGCACATGAACAGCAAGTAAAGGTCAGCTCGTAAGCAAGTTTTAAGCCCTCCCAAAAGCCCCCCAGGTGTTGGCCAGATGGCCGGGGCCCTTGGCGAGTTGGCTGGGGCCTCGTCGATGGCGGCCACTGCATGTGCCAACGTGACCGATCCAGATGGTGACGACTTCTTCGATGACGAAAGGGTCTCCGTTTTCGGGGATCAGACGCAAGGTGCGAGCTTCTTGGGCCGGCAGCTTCTCATCGGAGAAGGTGAGGTAGGCAACGGCATTCAGTGTGCCGTGGACGTAGGCATGGTGACGACAAACATCGCAAACATGGGCCTGGCGATCAACTCGGCTGTGAACTCCGGGAACTGTCAACATCAAGCCTTGCCCAAGCGGAGGGCTCTCTGCACAGTGGACGTTGGAAGAGCCGTGTCTTTCTTTGCGCAGATTGTGACCTTCATCCAGTTCTCGATTGTGAACTGTGAGAACCTGATGAATGCAAGCGCCCTCTGTGGAGCTGGCATTTCCGGCATTGGTGCGGCGGCTGCCAGCATGGCCCCGGGTGTCGCCTCCATCGTAGCCGGCTGCAAGCCTCCTCCCCCTCTGCGTGGCACACAGACATCAACGACGCAAACAGCAACATCCACCACAATGTCGGTGACCTCAACGCTGACCAGTGCGACGTCGACGACCTTTACCTCATCGTCGACAAGGTCTTGGACTTCAACCTCCGTTTCAACATCCAGCAGCTCGTCTGCCAGCAGCACGGTGAGCAGTATATCTTCGACTTCAACATCTTTATCCAGCACTGCAACTACATCCAGCAGTATCACCACCTCCTCGACCACGATTTCTTCGACCTCGACTTCAACAGAAACCTCGACAAGCAGTAGTTTAACGAGCTCGAGCTCTTTAACCACGACTGCAACAACCACGAGTGCAACAAACACCACCACCACCTTCACTCAGCAACCCTTCGATTGTCTCTCAGGAAGCCTCAAGCCGTTGCAGATGCTCAATCGACCGGACCCCGTCACTGGCCAGTACTCGGGATGTCCCGATGGTTCTGACATCAAGGTTTTGGACATCAACACCGGAACCTACACCCCGCTATGTCGCTTCGAAAACCAGTGCTTCAACGCCTGTGGCATGAGCCCCACGACCAATTTCATCTACTGCATCGAGAAGGAGGGCAACAACCTCATGCGGCTCGATTGCTCGGGGGGCACGGCGTGCTACGTTGGAAAGATCGGCTCCAGTTACTCTGCCAACTTCAACCCCATCACGGGGGATTTTGTCATGACGAACCAGAGAGAGATCGTCACCGTACCGAATGTGGATGGCCTTGTTTGCTCCAGCACGCCCCTGACCACGAACATACCAGGCCGTACCTCTGCTTTCTTTTGGCTCTGCTGCAGCTCTTTGCAGGCCCCCGCGCGCTCGCACGCCCCTTGCAGTGTTCTCTAGTGTCCCAGCAAGATTTGCCGAAATCAGCCAAGGCACAGTGGTTGATCTGGGCCGCACCGACCTCAATCTGGCTGACATGATGGTCACCAACATCTCAGGTCTTCCTGGTTCCGGGGAGTGGATGGTCTCTTGCTCGGACAAAAACACCGTATACCTCCAGAATCTTCAAGACAAGACCCTCAACTACAACTTGCAGATGGTAGGATTTCCCCCGGGTGTCGGCATCTTGGGACCTTCCGGTGCGCAGTGGCAGTGGAGAGACGACCTCTACTGCGCTTACAACAACCAAAATCCCCCCACGCAGCCAGGTGGGTCCGTTCTCAAAATTAATCGGTCCCTTTTTTTGGGGCTACTCTGAATCTTAGGGTTTAGGGGGCGCCTTTGGGAATCGTAGCACCATGTAGCACCACCCCCCCCCCCGCCCCAAAAGGGTGCCCCCAGTTTAGAGACATGACCAGGTGGTGTGTGGGACCTCAACTTGGCTTCGATCGACATTGTGAACGGCACGATTGAAGTTGCCAATGTGAGCGCCTCCGAAAGGACCAGTTCTAATGATGGCATGAACTGCCTTGGAGGGGACAGCCCTTTTCCGCCCATGTTCTAAGCCCCAAGAGCCAAGAGCGACCTGGCGTCCTGAGAATCAGGCTCCAGATCAGGCGCTTGGGGCCTTCAGGGTGTTTGGCATGTGTTTGGCATGTCTTGAGACATATCTGTGTATCTGCCGATGTTGATGTGTTCCAAGTGGGAGTCTGTGGTCTGATATGAGGGCTTTTTCCGTCCCCTTCCCTTCTGCACGGGCATGTAAAGTGTGTGACGTCGGTTCGCTCATGCATCCGCATCGGCCTGGAAGATGCCTTTCGGTGCACAGTGACATATAGCTGCCACAGTTCACACTGTTCACCACCCAGAATTCGCTCGTCGCATAACGCGAGCCCCACAAGCATGGGCACACTAGTTTGCTTTTTGCACTTTTGTTCTTTGCGCATCCCGCAAATTCGTTTCAAGAGCACGCCAGCAAGGCATATCCACAATCCACGGTGAGGTCCAAGATGTCCAGCAAACATCGCGACATCGTGGACCGCAGTGCCTCCCTTTGTTGGATTGGGTAGCTCCTCTGCTGGGCAAAAGACTTAAAGGAGAGCTGCTGGGAGCATTCTTATGTATTTCCTTGATGTGGACATCATCTGAGCCCCAAGGTGTTAGGTGCCGCTGTTCTCCAAGAAGCTTGTTGAGCTTTGAAACCTCTTGAAGTTTCAGAGCCACGTCTCTGCGTCTGCTTCGGGCTCGTTGCGCTGTGTGTGGATTGCAGTCGGCCCTACAATACGCCCTTTACAACCCTAGATTCTCCTGAAGGCGGCCGTGGACACCGGTCTCCCCTTGCCAGGCCGTCGCTCGCGATTAGTTGTCGGATGTGTCGGTTTCGAGTCCAATTCCGAGCAGTTTGGGGGATTGAAGCCTGTGGGCTTGGAACGAACGCGGCTCGTGCCCCACTCTGAAAACCCCGCTCGCCGAAGTTTGTTGCGCTGAGGTGGGGATCTCATCCCTTCGGGGCTGAAGTTGCCATCCACTGGCATCCAGCAGCTGGGTGGTCAGAAAAAGAAGCTTTGCACCATCGTCCTGTTCTCGCGGAAGGTTTTTCACTGTCAATCCGTGCTATGCTTGCCATGCGCACCAATTGTTGCGTGGAGGTTTTGTTTCTGCAGATAGTGCAAGACGTTTCTTGGGTTCACTTTCACATGTTGGGAAAGAGCGTCCTTGCTGCGCGAGCCGCTGGTCCCCGCATCGCCCGCATCGCCCGCACCGCCTCCGTTTCGCGGAGGGATGACTCCTGACCACGGGGGGGGAGTCCTTTCCCCAATGGGCGCTTAAAGGACTGATAAGTGGGTTATACGTACAGTTACGGTTATCATGAACCTTCCGCCCAACGGTGGCATGCTCCTTTTTTTTTCGAGCATCCTTTACCAAATGCCGGGCAGAGTTGAGCCGCCACGGAGTTGGGCGCCTTTTAAAGGCGCTTCCCAAGTGGAGGCTCGGCTTCGCGACGCGGAAAACAATGGCCTGGCTCAAGGTGATGCGAAAAAACTACGTATGTGAGGAAAGTGACCCTCGAAAGCCGCGAGACGGCCCAAACGGGAGGGACTTGACCCAAAACGAGCGCTCCGCCTCGGGCCTGGGCGAGAATTTTTCCGGCGGGGCACACAACCCTAGCCATTGTACTTGATGTTAAGGCACACCATGCCGCCCGGGCTTTTGCCACCTTATGGTCTTGTGTTGCATTTCTTTTTGAAAGCTTTGCCTGGCGTGGGCCTTTGGCGCCTGGCGCTCCGTAGCGATCCATTGTGTGCTTAAACACCAAGGCCGGTGCCTTCCGGTGCCGTTGCCGATGAACCTGTGCCGATCAGGCCGTGCATGTCGTGCATCCAGCGGCCGCTGTGCTGGGCTTGAGGTACGATCAGCGCGATCACGCGTGGATTCGTGATATTCGTGGATGCACATGGATGCACAAGGCGTCTGCATATGCTTCGCTCAAAGGCAGCACTCCTATGGTCGTCTACGGGTTTTCGGTTATTTTGCAGTGTGTGCTGCGCAATGCCAAATATGCCAGTGCCAGTCCCAGTCACCCCGGGGCTTCAGCGAGGAATGCCCCGAAAATGATCCCCCAACTCATTCCAATACCATCGCAAAGGGAGCTTCAGGATTCAGATATCATGCCGATTCAGCTGAGATGGCGAGCGCCAGTTTCCACTTCCCAGCCAGCAAACCCCTTCAGCGACCTCCCTGCCGACCCAGGTGCGGTATCAATGGCCAAGATTTCAGTTGCTATTGTGCAAAACATACTTGCGAGACTGTCAGGCCACGCACCCAGCGTGCCGCCTCGCTTTTGCTTTGCCAGGGTCCGCCATGCGTACGTTCGTTGCGGCACACAGGCTTGCCACCTGCCCACCTGCCCACATGCAGTGATTCTGGCTTCAGGCTCGGGGACCATTTGGCAGCACCGTCGACCCCGTGGCAGGCTCGCCAGCGTCTGAGCCTGCATGGGGACCACGTTGGATGGCAACAAAAATAAGAATCTCTGTGCGAAAACGATTTTGGATGAGGAGCCCACAAGGCCGGTGTCGTTGCAAGAACCTGTGTTGTGTCTTATTGCGTTACAGGCTGGTTACAAGGAATACGCTGCTGGCCCAATTCTGCATGCGGAAGTGTCACTACTGACGAACGCGCTATCCTCCGGCAAGTCCTTGGAGGTAGGCCAAACATGGTGCGCGAAAACCTTCTCCATTCCGCGGACGAACGAAGATTTGCTGCGAAGAGGTTTGGTAAAGGGAACTTTGATATCTGCCTCGTGATGGCTGGACATTGCCAAGAATCCTCGACCTCGCCCGCAGAAGCACCACCAGGTTTTTCAGGTAGTCGGCGACACATGTCATTCGCGAGGCCGATGCCGTAGGCTGGCCCGTGTTTTCACCACCTCACTTTGCCCAAGTTCGTCTTTGGAGTCTCCATTCTTCTGCATGAAAAATCTCGAGCTGGCGTGTGACCGCTTCAGGGCCCCTCGGTGGCGCCGGCAAAAGAAAGGGTAGCGTGGCATTTCAAGAACACCTCGCCGCTTCCAGGCTTCGATTTGGAATACACAGGAGTACGGGTCCACATACGGATGAAGTAATGGAGCCTGTGCGTGTTTGCCAGGTTTGCTTAGGGCTTAGCTCAAGTACCAGCTGCAGAGAGTGGTCGACACAGGATGTGTGCCGCAGCCAACAGGCTCCTGCCGAACGGAATTCAGATGGTGACACCTGTTGGACCCCCTTCCGTCACAGCAAGCGCTCACCTCCTTCTCGTCATGTTGGCACTGGTCTCGCACTGTCTTTGTTGCCCTTCTTGCATTTTCACCCTTGTGTCTTGGTTTTTTTTTGTTTCCCACTCCACCTTTCCTGCTAAGCTGTCCGGGTGCACCTGGGCGACAGTCAAGACAGCCAAGGGTGGGGCTGCAACTGCTTGCGCCGGGACCGCATTGGGAAAGCAGCAGCGCTCGCGATGCCGAGTCGAGGTTTGAAAAAAACATCTCGCGCGCGCTCTTCTCCACTGCGGCCCCAGCACAGCGCTGCCAGCCTTTCTGCATGGCCACCGGGCCTCCTCCGTCCGCGTCAGCCCCGTGCGGCGGCGCGGCACCATCCAGCAGGGATGCCCACGTAGGTGCGGCAAAGCCCTGTGAACGGAGCCATTCCGCCGCGTATTCGGCCTGCCGGGTGCTGGGCGGCATGGCGGCAGCCTCACCCAGCATCGGAATCGGGCGCAACAGGTTCGCCAGCACCTGCGGATGAAATTCCCGGAGCGCCCCGACGGTGTCCGCCCAAGAGGCCCAGTATGCTGCGTGCCGATGCGCCTTGGCCGACGAGGACGGTTCATCATGTTGGCGCGGGGACTGGAGCCTACCCGTGGCGCAGCAGGGACTGGTCGTCCTGGGCAGTCCCATTGGCACCCGCGAGTTCGTCGCAGCAAAACTTGAGGAAACAAGCGTCAAACACGAGGCCTTGTTCGCCCGGTTGCCGGACGTGCAAGACCTGCAGTGCGCGTGGCTGCTGTTGCTCTTGTGCGCGGCTCCTCGCTGGACCTACATGCTGTGCACTGTCCCGCCGGCGGATACGGTCTCCTTCGCGGAGGCGCATGACGCTGCAGTGACACAGTGCCTGGGCAGGCTGCTCTCAGGGGCGGATGACGCGCTTGTCTTTACCCCGACCGGCATGCAACGGGCGCACCTCCCGCTGCGCATAGGGGGTATGGGGCTGCCCGCCAGCGGCATCGCCGCGACTAAGCCGGCTCCTCCCCCGCGGGGTTCCCGGCCCTGGTCTTGCCGAGGTGGATTTGTACATTGGCGTGCCTCGGCAGGCACGTCTGGGCCGCGCGCAGCACTTCGAGAGGGTGTGCTCTGGACCGGATGTGAGGTAGACATCGTCCGGGCTGGAGCTGCGGGTGTAGGTGGGTGAGCGCTGTGTGCTGGCCGAGCGCGTACAGCCCCCGCATCAACGGATCCCCTTGTTCCCCGTCCCGCTGCAGCACCTCGTGAGGTTGCCCGGAGGCATCGTAATAGAGGTAGCGGCTGCGGCGGCATAGAACAAAGCGGCGAAAGGGAGCAGGCCCGAAAGCGCAGCATGATCGCGTAAGCCGCCAAGCATGCTGGCCCGCGAGATTTGGTCGTATGCCCCCATGCCGTCTATGCTCAATATGGTCGTACGGGGGTCCGATTCCGTGGCGGCCCGCAACGCACGCACCAGGGCCTCGGGGCCCACCCGCGTGCTGAGCGCGTACTGGAACGGGGCACAGGCCTGTCTGAAATGCTCCGCGAATTGTTGCGCCAGCGTGCGACTGACGAGGCGGCGAAAAACGTCGCCCATCACCAGCGCACGGACCCCTCCGTTGGGCTTGCTCAATGCCACCATGCGTCCCAAGCGCAGTGCTTCAACAACCGGGGGCCGGGACGTCGGCCCTCGCAAGTTTAGCCGCTGCCTGCTCGTCGTCCAGCAGGGACCTGTTCAGTCTGCGGATTCTGCGGTCGTCTGCACGGGTCCCGAAGGGCGTCCAACGTCGCTTGCGTAGCGGGAGCGAGGG